ACTCTCTCTATGACCTTGACATAGTAAAGAATTTCTGCAACAGGGCACAGCATAACCAGTTAAGGAAAAAGGCTGATAAAGTTGCAACACCCAAACTTAAAAATTCCCCCCAACTCCAGAAAGAAAGTTAGAAGGCATTTTAAAGACTGCAGGAGCCCTTGGCGATATCAGAATATCAATGAACTAGAATTCAATAAGAAAAGGGCAAATCAATGGGGAAAGTAGATGAAGCCACAATTCACAGAAGAGAAGACCAAGTATCCAATAAACTTATAAGATGCTACATGTCACTAGCAATGAGGGAAATGCAAATAAAACAATAAAGAAAGAGCACTGACGGCCAAAATAAAACGTCTGAATTACCAAGTGCTAAGGAAGCTGTACCCACAGGAGCTCTCCTGCCCTGTGGGGAGGAGTATCAAATGGGAGCACTCCCGCACAGCCATCAGCCAGAGCTGAGGATGGGGGCTGGCTGCTGGAGAGGACTGTTCATTACAGCTACCTGCATATCTCCAGAACGCATGCCCTTGCCTTTAATAGATGCCATGCCTTTCTTCCTGTGTCCCGTAAATCTAACCTAATACCACCCTCACCAGGGCTCAGTGAATATCACAGGTGCAGGTGAGGAGCCAGCTGAGCTGTCATTTTTTTAAAAATGTATTTTTATTGATTTTAGAGAGGAAGAGGGAGAGGGAGAGAGAGAGAGAAACATCAATGATGAGAGAGAATCATTGATTGGCTGCCTCCTACATGCCCCTACTGGGGATGAAGCCTGCACCCAGGCATGTGCCCTGACCGGGAATAGAACCCAGGACCTTCTGGCCCATGGGATGACTCTCAATCCACTGAGCCACCGCAGCCGGGCTGAGCTATCATTCTGGTGCGGTGGGCCCCCTTTTCCATTAAATTAGGGTCTCAGTGTCTCATCTATTTCTAAACATTTCAGTCACCAGCTCCGACAATGCACATAAAACAAGGTCGCTGTCAAATGTAATAGAACAGAACAAATGATTGGCAATTTATTATGTAACTCCAAAGGGAATTTTCACATGCGCAACATCAATGCCACTTTACAAGGTCATACCATCGTCTGCTTTTCAGTTCAGAACTGGTTTGGTTGGTTACAAACTTTTCTTTTAAAAACTCGACTCGGGCCATTAGTCTATCAGTGAGAATTTGACTATCTACTATGTGAATAAGCAAACTTTTTGTTACTACATTAAAAATGCAAAGGAGGTAAGAACTCATGATGTAACTAATAATGGAAAATGACCAACCTCTCAAAGTGTGTTTCTGAATTTCACTCAGGAAAAAAAAAATAGTCCAAGAAAATAGAGCAATTTGGGAAAACTAGATTGCTAATGTCACCAGCTAGCTCAGTTGGTTAGAGCATTGTCCTGGTACATGAAGGTTGTGGGTTCAATCCCAGGTCAGGGCACATTCAAGAAGCAACCAATGAATGCACAAATAAGTAAAAGAACAAGACGCTGACAATGTTTCACTCTCTCTCTTCTTCCTAAAATCAATTTTTTAAAAAAAGCACAGTGCTAAATGAACATGTAATTTACTCTTTTCTTCTTCATTTGATATTACATCTCTTTCTTTTAGTCACTCTTATTCAATAATAGCAATTCCGGGTCATTACATGAAACAGCAGAGTTCTTGCTCCCAATCCTATGGAACATATTAGATGTGGGGGGAAATTCTCATATTATTTTTAGAAGATACAAAAAAAGAAAACACAATTTCACCAGCACTAGCAGTTTTACGTATTTGGCAGAAATGTGTTGAGTTAACCTCCCCTTTTAATGGCCACAATCCTTTTCAGTTGGATTATTAAAAGAGTTTTGCTTTGGATTAAACAGTCCCTTTGTGAATCGAGATGAATCAGAAAGGAAATTGTTTTGGGTAAAGCCCTGTACTGACCCCAGGGTGGGGAAGAGCCATGAGCAGACGCCCACCACCTCCCTCCCTCTTCCTCTCCACACACACACTTGAGGGGGCAGGAGGGACACAATCCTGCTGACCTCTGACCTGCAGGTCCAGGCCGCTGGCCCTCACGCACAGCCAAACCGAAAGCAAGACCTGCTGGTGCCGTTTTAACCCCTTAGCATTCAAGGAAAGACACCCACAGGGCAGTCCGTCAGAACCGGGCGCAGCAATGTCACAGCTCAGAAGCCCAGCTCTGAGAGCCGCAGGAGGGGAGCCCCCGGGCCAGCGCCATCTCCCTGCCTCTCGGTCACTCGAAGTGCTGGTCCCACGTTCTCTCGTCTCTGAGCACAAGCAAACCGCAGTCCTGTCTGTGGAGGGTGTCCCTGGGCCCTGACACCCCCTCCCCAGCCTGAGCGGGCGGGATGACAGCGGCCTCTGCATTTTCCTGATAATCACTCCCCCGGGGTGATGACGCTGAGGGAGGAGAAAGCTGACCAAGCAAGCCGATGACCAACTCTCACATCTCCCAGTGCTGAGCTTTTCAAAAGGCCGGCAGGCAGAGGAGGTGCAGGAATGAAAATTGCCACGAAGAGAGGAGGAAAGTGTGGCCATGGCAACGGATGTGGGTACCAGAGAAGGAAGAGGGCTTCCCATGAACCAGTGTCTCTCTCTAACTAAGTGCGAGTGAAGGAGGTTAGAGTGTGTGGTCGCCCGGCCCGCATGGCTGGGAAAGCCTCGGTGTCACATCCGCCCTGAGATGGTTGTGGACGGAAAGGGCCACGTGCTCACCTGCCTGGCTCGGGGAGGCCTGTGTGGTGACCTTGCAAACTCAGAGACAAAAGCAACCACGCAGGATGGTCTGAAATTAAAACCTTTCCATTAGAAAGCAGTGATGGTGGGTAGTCATGTCCTAGGCTGGTGTCTTCCCTGACAAAGGTCAATCTTGACCTTCTCTGGGCCTATTGTCTTTTTGTATCGATGATAACTTATCGTGGGAATGTCAAAGTCATTTTCCTTTTAACGGACCCCACAGGGCACAGGCACTGCTCTGCCAGAGCCCCTCACTGTTAATGAGTTAATTGTTGGCTGTTAACTATCTTGCACCCACCTAAGTAGAAGCTGTGTCTATCATTTTACTTTTTATCCAATCCCGGAGGCTTCCCCACCTTTGCTTTCTCCTGCCTCCCTAACCCATCACCAATGGATTTCACGTGACCCACTTACGTCTCCTCCTTCGATGGTGAAGTCTAAAACAGGGTGAAAAACCGCCATTCTCCGCAGCATTCTCTAAGCACATGGAGATTCTGCTTCCCCGCGAGTCTTCACAGGTTTGAGTGTTTCTACACGGACAATGGCATGTCAGTGCTGCCGTAAAGACAAGGACAGCTGCTCCCAGTCACAGTGCTGGTTTCTGTACCTCCTCCTCACCTGCAACCTCTCCGTCATTCTCACTCACTGGTCCCATGCGAGCACCGTCGCCATCCCCGTCCCTGAGAACCGAGGCTCAGAAGCAGTCAGTGACTCCCCCAACCAACGAGCAAGCCAGTGGCAGAGCGGGACCCAGACAGTAACTGAGTGCCAGCCCTGTGCCAGCCTGTCTGCCCCGGTCTCACTGTCACCAGTGTGGCCAACACCACGTCACACTTGGTCCTCAGGCAAAGCCAGCTCAAAACCCGCCGCCTCTGAATGAGCACCCACGCCCCGCACGTTTGTTCTGGTCCAACCCCTGGTCCTGCAGTGGCCTCGTGGGACCCTGCTTGGGGCCGCTGTCGGTAAACACGGCGTGAAGATGCTCTGGTTCCATTTAGAACACGGCCTTTCCGTCCTGTTACCCCTTTTCCATAGGGGCCCCCAGGCTTCTCTGTGATTTCTTACAACTCGCAGGCCTTCCGCAGGGGGGGGAGCTACTGCAAAAACAGAGCCCTCCCGCCAGCTTCAGCAGCGACACTGAGATTACAACCGGCCCAGCGCGCTCCTAGGCAGGAACCCTGCTCCTCTCCCCTGTGCTCTCCTCAGCACAAGTGATAAGCGAAAGCGAAGACAAAAGGATTCCATCACCCCATGTGATTCTTTACTGCTGTGGGGAGCAGAGTGTGGTAAGTGGCAGACACAATACTGACAGCAAGTACTTCTCAAAGTCCCAAGTCCCAGGTCACGCCTCCTGTGTAAGGAGCACAGGTTTACAATTACATGTAAGTAGAATATTCTGAGCACCTGTTATGTGCAAGAGCCTGTGTAGTTTCAGTGAGAAATATAACATCAAACATCTCTCCCTTTAAATATGTGTTATTTAGCTTGAATTCCCACAATTCACTAAACAATACAAATAACTCCATACGAAGTCGACAAAATACTTGAACAGATATTTCCCCAAAGACTATACAGATGGCCCATGAGCTTCTGAAAAGATACTGAACATCATGTCATCATGGAGCTTCAACTGCATACCACGCCGGGCATGACCCCACAGCCCTTACGTGCTAAGGTCTGCCAAGGCCAGGCGCAGACCTGGGCCACCCAGAACGCTCATGTTTCCAGTGGGAATGTCACATGGAGTAAGTACTGTGGAAAGAGCAGGTCTGGAGTTTTTCATAAAATTAAACATATATTCTATGATCTAGCAAATCCCACCCCTAGATATCTTCCCAAGAGAAATTACAACCTACGCCCACCAAGGAACGTGCCCAGGGATGCTCACAGCAGGGTAATCTAATAGCCTGGCACTGGACACAGCCAGGAGTCCTTGCGAAGGAAGATGGGTAAACAAACTGGAATATTCATGTCAAGAAATACTGTTCAGCAATAGCAAAGAACAAAATATTGATAAATGTAACATAAATAAATCTCAAAACACGCCGAGTGGCAGCATCCTTATACAAATGGAATTTATGTTCCCGTGTGTAAGAAGGCCTACAACCACTGAACCATCTGTGGTGGGATCTAATCAGATGATCTTTCGGGGATGTGGCAGAGGGGGCTGATTGGAAGAATATGGGAGGGCTCTCTGAGGTGGTGGCAGGTTATATATTTTGCTAAGAGTTTGGGTTACCCAGCTGTGTCCCTTGTCAAAAATCAGCAAGTATTCACTGAGGTGTTTTTTTCATGTATGTAGATTTTATCTTAGTAAGACTATTAAAAATTATGAATTTGAGTTGAAAGATATTTATACTGAAGTACTTAACAGAAATTGATCTGAAATCTTCAGTTTACTTGAAATACATCAAGAAATAAGATGGACTGTGGCTTAATGGGTAGATATATGATAGAGTAAATTGAATAAAACAATGTTAAAGTAGTAAGAGCCCACTTAATAGTGGATGTACATGTGATCACTGTAATATTCTTAACTTCACTGTATATCTGAAAATGTACATAATAGAATGTTGGGAAAAAACATGCTTCACTCTTTCTCTCTTTATCTATGTAGATGATTAAAAAGAAAGGAATCAATTCACCAAGAGGACTTAGGAAACCTAAAGAAATGCCACTAAGAAAAGGGCTTCAAAATGCATGACATATAAACCAACAGAACTACAATGGGAGATAAAGAAATCCATAGTTACAGTCAGACATTTAATATCCTCCTCTCAACTGATAGTATAAGTACATTCAAAAATCAGTCAAGTAAAATAAAACTTGAACAGTATTATCAACCAACTTGACCAAATTGATATCATAGAATTTTTCAGCACACAATGGGAAATGCACATTCTTTTCATTTACACACAGAACATTTACATAAGAGGGACCATTCCTGGGCATGAAACCACATTTGCCAAAAAATATTTGGGCAGGAATGTTCATAGCAGCTTTCTTTTTTAAATTTTATTTATTTATTTTTAATTTATTGTCTAAAGTTTTACATATGTCTCCTTTTTCCCCACTTGACCCCATCCCCCCAAGTCATTCCCACCCTGGGCAAGCCCCCACCGTCCCAGTGTCTGTGTCAATTGGTTATGCTAATATGCATGCATATAAGTCCTTGGTTGCTCTCTAACCCCCCCCCCCCCACCTTCCCTGCCATTTGTCTCTGGATCTATTTTTGTTCATCAAATTATGTTGAACATTATATCCCACATATGAGTGAGATCATGTGATATTTATCTTTCTCTGACTGGCTTATTTCACTTAGCATAATGCTCTCCAGTTCCATCCATGCTGTTGCAAATGGTAAAAGTTCCTTCTTTTTTTTATAGAGGCATAGTATCCCATTGTGTAGATGTACCACAGGTTTTTAATCCACTCATCTGCTGATGGGCACTTAGGTTGTTTCCAAATCTTAGCTATGGTGAATTGTGCTGCTATGAACATAGGGATGCATATATCCTTTCTGACTGGTGTTTCTGGTTTCTTGGGATATATTCCTAGAAGTAGGATCACTGGGTCAAATGGGAGTTCCATTTTTAATTTTTGAGGAAACTCCATACTGTTCTCCACAGTGGCTGCACCAGTCTGCATTCCTACCAGCAGTGCACGAGTGTTCCTTCTTCTCTGCATCCTCGCCAGCACTTGTCGTTTGTTGATTTGTTGATGATAGCCATTCTGACAGGTGTGAGATGGTATGTTATTGTTGTTTTGATTTGCAGCTCTCAGATGATTAGTGACTTTGAGCATGTTTTCATGTTTCTCGGCCTTCTGTATGCCCTCTTTCGAAAAGTGTCTATTTAGGTCCTTTGCTCATTTTTTGATTGGATTGTTTATCTTCCTTTTGTTAAGTTGTATGAGTTCCCTGTAAATGTTGGAGATTAAACTCTTATTGGTGATAACATTGGCAAATATGTTCTCCCATGCAGTGGGCTTTCTTGTTGTTTTGTTGATGGTTTCTTTTGCTGTGCATAGCAGCTTTATTTATAATAGCAATAACCCTCATGTCCATCAATAGATCAATGGAAAAACAAATTGTGGTATATTCATACAATAGAATATTATACAACATGGATGAATACAAAATAAGTACAGAGTGAAAAGCTAGATCCAAACATGTACATGCTTGATCATTTCTAGAAAATGCAAACTAGTCCACAGTGCAGAAGCAGGGTCGGAGCTTGGTGGACGGTAACCGATGATGAGGCCTCCAGGGAGGCGCATTGCAGTGGGAAATCGGGGCGGTCAGGTTATTCTTACAAACAGTTATCTAATAAGGACACGCACCGACACCAGAAGGCCAAAGAGTTGTCGGAAAACAATTACGATACCTCTCGGGGCATCTGCCAGCATCTGTCCCAACTGAGGGAACTGGAGAGACGCGTGGATGTCGAGTGAAATCCTCATCTGTGACCCCAAGAACCAGGGAGAGCGGCGGCGAGGTGGTTCCACTCACCTCCCTGCATGCAGGGAAGGGGGTCTCCTGGGCAGGATTTCCTTCCGGCCACGCAGTAAAGTTAGAATAACTGAGAAGAAATGACAGCTGCTCCAGTCTGAAGCACAGGCCCACTGCCCACCTGTTACCTGTCTGAGGAGTTTCTCTAAACAAGAAATGTGATAGCAACTGAGCTGTTTCGTTGGGTTCAGACATGATTAAACTACACAAGAATTAACGTTGCCTGTCGTGCAAGGTGTGTACGTGTGCCAGCTGTACGTGTGTAAGCAGTAACGGTGTGGGGGGTGTATTAATCACTGCCTCCTTTCCTCCTTTTTCTATTAAACACCCACATGGCATCTTTGAACAAATAATTATTTGGCTAAAAATTGTTTAAACTATTGGATGTGCTGATCCCATTTTTCACTTCCAAACTCATGGTTTTCTACACGCTCTTCAAAGGCCACAGCTGGGACCCACGGGCTGGGATGCTTCCCGCGTGTATGCTCCTCTCAACGGATAGGAGAGACGGTTGCAGGAGGGACACACCGTCAGGCTCATTCTCCAACAGCCAAGTGCAGAGGGAAGGTCAGATGTCTAACTGCTGGAGATTGGACGATTTTCAGAGGCCGCACTTCTGGAGCATGTATTCTTCCATCCAAAGGGCAGGAAGTGGCAGATCTTGAAGCAGCAGCTCCTTAAAGATGTATTTTTCAAAAGCTCCGTCTCCTCTTTCATGATGCTGGGCCTAGAAACCAGCTTTCTCTTCCCCAACATCACGGCTTGAGGCGCGAGGGGAATCGATGATACAAGAGTCTTCAAAGAGCGGCAGCATCTGCTCTGATATCTGGAGCCCCCGAGCCAGGTGTGAGCCCTGAGGCTCCGTCTCTCTAGCCCCGGCTCACCCACTTGGTAAGCAGTGGGCTGGGAGGGAAGCCCCGTCAGCCGGGCCCCGAAGCCACGGTGCTGAGTTCCACGCCAGTCAATCCGATCCCGAGTCCCGCTTTCATTGTTTTATTCCAACAAGTCAACCGTCAGACCAACTTCCGCCGGCAGCTCTTCCTTCCCGTGTTCAGACTGTACCTCTCTGTGGCCCTGCATGCCCTAAGCAGACGTCAATCAAAATATTGAACCCATTAAGTTCTGAAATGGATCCTCTTTGGACAGTAAGCCCCGCCCAGGCCACAACCATAACCACTTGTCGCCAAGCCCTGAGCAGTGTGTCAGCAACGTAGGAGCTGCTCAGCAAATGCCCGGTAAATTATAACTGAACTTAGAAAACTGGTTCCATCAAGACTTTCCAAGCGGTGCCCCATGGGACTCTAGGAAGTCTTTGGAGCTCACGGGATACAAGGGCTGGGATTGTTGGGAGAGGTGCTCACCATCACCAGCATCACGTCAACCCCTGCTTCAGGGGAGGGCCTCTCCTATCAGCCTTTTTCTATTAAACTTCCACATGGCATCTTTGAACAGATAATTATTTGGCTAGAAATTTTTTAAACTATTGGGTGAGCTGATCCCATTTTTCACTTCCAAATTCATATAATTTTCTACACTCTCTTCCAAGGCCACAGCTGGGATCCAATGATGGAATGCATCCCACGCGTGCATGTAACGAGCTGCTGGGAAATCAGCGCTGGTGGGTGTGATGCCCTTCACTGTGTAACGTATCCCAGAATCTCCTGGGAGAAAACCGTGCAGTAACCCGACATTCAGCCTCGGAGGGTCTGAAGCAGAGCATTCACCTGACTCATCACTTCAAAACCACCCAGGCAAATGCTTAGAGACGCTATTCGCGTACTGCCTTCCTCCTTTACCTCACACACGTGTGCGTCAATGTTCCTCAGACATCGCTAGGGACCTGCTTGGTGTCAGGTGTCACAGGAAGTCAGGAAATTACTCTGCAACCCGCGGGCAGGGGTTGTTATGAAGCCTCCCTTGCAGGACAGGAGAGCAAAGCAGGACAAAGTTTAAGGACCTGCCTGACACTCAAAACGAGAGGGCGAGAATGTGAATTATAACCAAAGCTTGACATATTCCAGGAGCCCATCAATTTCATATTCTAATTCATATATTAGCAAGGTGATTAGGATCAATGTTATACTCTCCTTTTACACTAGAAAAATTTAGCATGGAAAAGATCTTTTATTATTGATATCTTCTTACTGGTGTAAAATTTACAATCCACAATGTTTAAAAAATATATTATCTCATTTTATATACATACTAGAGGCCCGATGCTCCTGCCCCACCCCCAACCATCTAATTCATATATTAGCAAGGTGATTAGGATCAATGTTATACTCTCCTTTTACACTAGAAAAATTTAGCATGGAAAAGATCTTTTATTATTGATATCTTCTTACTGGTGTAAAATTTACAATCCACAATGTTTAAAAAATATATTATCTCATTTTATATACATACTAGAGGCCCGATGCTCCTGCCCCATTCCCAACCACTTGGCGCCTACATATGCAAATTAACCTGCCATCTTTGTTGGGTTGGTTTGCATACTCACTCCTGATTGGCTGGTGGGCGTCACGGGGTATGGTCAATTTGCATCTTCCTCTTTTATTAGTGTAGATATGTAAAGGCTAGTTTGATAATGATTTCCCACCTGGTTTGGATGATCTATGTATGATCACATGATTTAGTAATTATTTTGAAAACTGTTTTTTAAAGCATTAATAGTCTTCATTTACTAGCATATTAAACTTGAGAAGTTATTCGGCAATTCTGGATCCAGGGTGATCTGACTGGTTTGTCTTTAATATGTGAATTTAAGTAAAACTTTCAGTCATGAAATGACTAGCTGCAATTATAATGTTTCAGTCAGTTCTATGGGGGAACTCCAAAAAAAAGACAAATTAAAAAGTCAGCCAAATTGTTTTGTTTCATTGGCAATATGCCATCTTAACAGGAGATACACATACATACATACATACACACACACACACACACACACACACACCCTTAGACAAAATAATCTTTTGAGCATATCCAAGTAATACCTGTCACTGAGTACTATTTTTATTAGTCAGATTTTTATCTGTATGTGAATTATGGCTATTGGGTTATGAAGCATGTTGCAGCTGATGCCAACCTGGATGTATTCCCAGTTGCCTTAGACTGGAAAATGTACCGTTAGCTATTGCACCAGCTCTTGAGCCATCCTGAATATTTTGTGTCTGTCACATAGGGCAAACCAACTTGAAAAGATAAACTTTCTTGTATGATTTCTGATTATTTTTCCATTAAAAGGCAAGAAAACAATCTCCAGCGTTTTTCCTGTGATATTTCATCAAATCTAAAGCAGGGCAAACTGCCAAAAAAGAATGTGGGGTAAGAGGAAAGTCAACAAGCAGTGATGAAAGATACACAGTAGTTGTTTCTATGCAAAAACAGAGACAGAAGGGAGAGAGAAACGTATCTTGATGTAATCTCTCTCTGCCACTCAGATGACATGCGTAGTGTCAAAAGCAGGGTGTGAAAAGTAGAGAGCCTGTAGCGCTGCTGACTCAAGAGACTCGGGCACTGCGTCTCTGAGGGTTTCCTTTCTAACCGATGCTCCGGAAGTGCTCATGGAGAAGCGGGATTCTCAACCATCTTCTATGCTTGCTTTGAAGAAGCAAAAACATCTCACTTACTCTTAGAGACTCAGATACACAATTTAGGAGGTCGCC